GTGATAAATAAAATAGTAATAAAGGAGTATAAAACTGAAAAGGCAGTTTTAAAAAAGAGTAGATATATAAATAAAATAAATCAAAAGTGAAAATGGCCAAAAAAAGGAGTGGTAGAGCACATTTACTGTGCACTTGCCCAAACTATGAGGCAACTAAGATCTGATTAAAAGCATTGAGAATTGGTATGTCTGAGTTTTTCAGTCAGGAGGGCACCCTGAGGAAAGTTCTTGAGACCATGACATCAGTGACCTGGAAGCAAAATACATGGTTAAAAGATCTGCCATATATTGTGAAACTGAAGGCCTTAAAAATAAGCAATAACATTTTAAAATCAATTTTAAATTCCACAGGCAGCCAGTATAGCTATAACAAGAATGATATACTGTCTTTAGTGTTGGGGTCTTACTCAAAAAGAGCAGCGCATTATGCATTACTTTGTTTAGAAGTAATGTAATATGTTATTTAATTACGTGCCAGAGAAAGTAATTCATTACACTCCATAAAGTGACAAAGTTAAAAACCAGCCCAAAGAAAGTTCAAAGCGACCACCACAGTGATTCTTATAGAAATGCAAACAGGTACTAACCCTCGTAACCACCTTTTTTAAACTTCTCTTGAAGTTTGGGGTCTAACTAAGGTCAGCAAACACTCAGTTTTCTTATCACTTTGAGTTCCTGACCAGCTTAGTTTAGCATAATGTCACAAATGCTTCCAAAGAGCTGAAGTTAGCAGTATTACATGTTAAGTCTTTTATACACAAAACTGGCCTTGATTTTGCGATGATTTTCGGTTGGTAAAAGGGGCCCTTCACAGCATCACTGATTTCTTTGTTAAAAGTAAACAAACTATCCACAAAAACCCAAAGATTTTTAACTGCAGTTTGGATGTATGTGGTTTAAGGGCCTCAATGGGGAGATTTTTAAGTGTAGGCAGCCAAATAAAATCACTTCCATTTTGCTATTATTAAGTTCAAAGAAATATATGTGATCCAGAATTTCAGATCATTCAGTCAAAGAGTTTCTGAGTCATTGTCAGAAGTCTGCCTGTGTTACAGGTAGATAACTCTCAGTGTCATTCACATATCAGTGATAGTGAACAAAGCAGTGGGTTATCATACATAATGGAAATAAAAGAGGACCTAATTGAATCCTTTAGGGATGCCACAGTTAATGTAAGCTGAGGATGACAAACAGTTTCTTATATGGACAGCTTCTATATTTCAGACATGAAGAACAGGTGCAAAACTAGACCCAGCAGTCCAACTTTATGCTCTATAGCAGCGGTCCCCAACCTTTTTTGCGCCATGGACCGGTTTATGCCCAACAATATTTTCACGGACCGGCCTTTAAGGTGTAGCGGATAAATACAACAAAATAAAACTAGTACCAAAAAAAAGAAGATTTATTCATAACACACGTGAAAAGATCATTTTCTCCACAAGGAGTTTAAGTGTATTGTGGTGCTGTTCATGGGTGATGGAAAAGTGAAGTGGGAGACTGATAGACAGATTGCTAGAACATTTGCAGCAATGTTGTAAAGCTCTGTTAGAAAACGCCATGTTGTTACCCTTACTATACCAATGGTCACAAGCAGAAATGAGCTTCCTCCAAAGAGTGTCTAGGCTCAGCCTTAGAGGTAGGATGAGGAACTTGGTCATCTGAGCGAGCCTCAGAGGAGACTTGCTGTTTCTCCACACTGAAAGATGGTTATGTCCCACATCCAGCTTGAGAATCTTGCCTCTCCACAAGAGCTAGAGAAGGCAACTGAGGAGATCCGGTAAGCAGGATTTATCGCCCTGAAAAATCTTTTCTAAGTATTAAAAAAGAAGAGAAAGTCAAATTTACTATCATAGCATGTTTCCCTATAAATTGATTATTTTCCTAATGATGCTAATGAGTTTCTTGCAGAAAAACAAACAAAGAAACTAAATAACAATGTATACTACTGAATAGTTAAAAGGGTGTTTATGCTTAAATATGGGAAAGTGTCAGTGGCCTCCAGTGTGATAAGCAACTTTTAAAGATGAATAATTTCAACAGTGCCTGAAAGAGGTTGTTAAAAAGAATATGATGGGAATAACTTTGCATTCAAGATGAGGTAAAAGTGCCTCTGCCAGCAAAGGCAATATCTGGATTTCCTGAGGCGAGTATGAATGAAATGCAGACACATGAGCGAAATATGAATGCTGGGTGTGAATGAAATAAAGCCGTTGTGCCTTTTGAAGAAAACATAAACAAAAGTGAAAACCTGAAATCCTCCTTCATTACCACATAAAGGTGCAGCTAAAACTTCAAAATAAAGAGTTTTGATTTTAAAGTTTCAAATGCAGTGAATAGCCAAGTCTTTGCAAAGATTCAGAACATGGATACATGTTATGAAACATGCATGTAGACCAGGGGTAGGCAACGCCAGGCCTCGAGTGCCGGTGTCCTGCAGGTTTTAGATCGCACCCTGTGTCAACACACCTGAATCAAATGATTTGTTCATTACCACTACCCCTGATGTAGACAAAATAATCAGAAAGACAGCATGTCTTGGGTTTGAATGCAGAAAGACTGTGTGCGTAATCCTCATGAAGATTTAATCATATAGATTTAATAAGAACACAATAAGGAACACAATGTTTTTATAAAAAATGTTATTTAAACTCTAGTTAAAGATGAGGAGAAGCTTTTGGGTTTCACAAGATTAAAAGTCTGAGTAACAGTATTGATCCGTAACCCTGGGGGCAGATATGTTTGGGATTTGTATTAAACTCAATATAAATTTAAAGTTATTTCAACAGCTTTCAAACTTTTTCCCACAGCTTTCTCCTAAAGGTTGATAACCTTTACTACTGAGGGGAAAAAAATCCCTGTGGAGCTTTATAATGAATCCATTGCTATTTGGTACTTTGCATTACAATAACACAAAGTTTTTGTTGCAATTTTGAAATTAGCTCAAAACAAGCTCAGGTCCTCTGCCAGAGGCCTGTGAGTTTGAGGGTTCTTCCCAGTATCTTAGCTGTTCCTGGAGTCCTCTCTACCTGGAATCTTCAGGTTTTGGGATTATAGCTCCTAATTCTCCTATTACCAGTGTAAAGTAATTTGAAATTTATCTTCTACATGTGCTGCCGTCCACTGAGATCGACACATCTGCAGTCTTCTGCGCTTGTCAACTACCACTATGTCTGGTTGGTTGAACAACAAATGTCTGGAACTTGAAGTCCCAGAGGATCATAGCTCCGTTATTTCCAACCACATTTCATGCTTGAAAATAACGACTTACTGTTATCGATGTACAGGAGGCGGCTGATAGTCTCACCACTCCTGAATTCATATATGCTCTTAGTAATAAGCTGCCTTAGGTGGTTAAGCCCCATACAGAGTAGTAGTGTGGACACCTTGGTATATTCTGCACTTGGTAATTTGCGTAATTTATTTGGCGTTGTCCTCCATTGTTGTCTTCCACAGGACCATTGAGTTTCTCATGAATGTTATTAATGTGCTGGTGGTCTTCTACAGTGCCAAGCACTCAAGTGTTGTAGGCAGTGTCGGGAAGGTTACTTTTAAAATGTGTTCCACTACAGATTACAGAATACATGCTCCAAAATGTATTTTGTAACGTATTCCATTACGTTACTCAATGAGAGTAACGTATTCTGAATACTTTGGATTACTTAATATATTATCATGCTTTTTTACAACTACACGAATGTGCTATTGCTGTGTGATTTATTACTGTTACTGAAGGTTACTCGCTTTACCAACACCAACTAGATTTTAAAATCTTAATATAAATGAGTAACAGTAGGATGGACATTAGGTAAGGCTGCACTTTTTGCAGCAGTCTGGTATATAAAACAGGTCCGCGGCTCTGAACCGTAGTAAAGGGACCTGTGGCTAATACCTCGGGTTCTTGTTGGGCTCGTAGCCAAAAACTAGCTTTACTTTGTTGTCTGGGTCAACTTTGCTAGCGAGAGACAGAGAGAGGAGTTGAAAGGCTGCTCCAACAGAACTTATTGTTTCGGAGGTAAAGACAAACACAGTGTACAGTCAAGTCTTAATAGCTTACTTACAACTGGGCTACACTGCCCGTGAGGCTACATTCTTCAGGGCTATGCTTGTCACACTCTGCCTATTGCCATCATATTAAATAATTATTTGAACAATAATTTTTAAAAATATTTTGTCACGTCATTATGTGGGCCACAAGTAGAGGTGACATGGGCCGCTAGATTGACACCCCTGCATTAGAGCCTCTCAGTGCGTGTTTTGTTCCAGCGTGGAATTACAAAAAATAGAAAGGGAACAGCCTAACATATGAAACAGGAAGACTGCTGTGTAATCCCTTCATTTCAACAAAGTAACTGTATTCTGAATACCACCTTTTTAAACGGTAACTGTAACAGAATACAGTTACTCATATTTTGTATTTTAAATACCAGTGTTACTGCCCAACACTGGTTGTAGGCTTTCTTGTAGTGCAGGCGGTTTCTCTGGTCGTAAGAGTCCTGGTGTGCTGTTTTATCAGCCAGGAGCTTGAGTTTGGCCTTTGGTGTTTCCAAAACATTTATTGGCAGTGGTCATGTACTGAACCCACTTAGCTTTGCTACTATGATGGCTGACCAAGCGTCCATGGAGTGCTGTTGCGTCTTTAGCCATTAAGCTTGGCTCACGTTGGGTCCTGTTGTTGTCCAGCTCTTGATTCTGTCGACATACTGATGGATGAACAACAACAACACCCTACTTTCTAGCATTAAAAAAAAAGCTTGAGGAAATGCCCTGCCCTAATTCCCATCACTGCTGGGACTTCATTCTGCTGTGATGGGGGACCAGAGTCTAATTGTCAAATAACAGAACTGAATTCTGTATATCAACAACTCCTGTTCAATTCCTTCTAATCTCTCCTTACTGAACTACTAACTAGACTGTAAAACTCTGTCAGAGAGCACATCTAACGGTTGAAAAGCCTCTAAGCAAGCAGAAAAAAATTTAAGCACGCAAACTGTAAATATGGTATTAAGTTATTTTATTAAGTGAAATGACTGGAACATTTATTGAAACAGACTCAGAATGAATGTAAATGGCAAACTACACAGAGTTCAAATCAGCAACTATACACTTGGTTAAATTCATTTTCTTATATGACACAACTAAATATTTTATATTTATTTATCTTCTCTTCAACTTCTCTCAAGCCTCTGTATTGTAAACAGAAAGGTCAGAGGTCGTGGTCACATGCAGTTCCCATGGAAACTGATTAACAGGTCTCTTGACTTTGTCCTGTTGACGTCTGCCCTCCTTGATCATCAGCTGGACATCCTCATCGTCCAGGATACGAATAAGGTCACCATCAGGGTCGCGGTAGTTCAGGGCAATATCATCCACCTTGAAAACATTCCTGCAAGAGACGAAAAAAACACTTCAATAATCAGTGTGTTTTTTTAGAGTATAAATAATATTAACCCCTTAGCAGTCCAATTAGTCCCCTAAACCATCCAATGTACCGTGGGCGGTACGTCCGACTGCTAACAGGTTAAGCATATTCTACAGAAATAGAAAAACTATTTGTGGGTGTTGTTAGTTCTTGTTGGCAGAAATTCTGAGAGATCAGCGAGTGAGATTGTCTCAAAGCCAGTTAATTGCCTGGCTCATAACCTGTTATACATTCAACTGGCAAATCTCATAAGGGCCATCCTATTCAAGCTGCAGCTGCACCCTGTATTGTCATCACTCATCTGCAAGCTACTTTGCAACCCACTACCACCCTAGCTCCTCCCAGCTATACTCCATATTCAAGTATATGGATGGAGGTGTGAAAAAATCCCAGAACAGAGCCATATCACCAAATATAAATGACTGCAGTTGGACTAACAAACACATTTTGTTATGATTCAGTGTTATCAGTGTTTGTGTTTTATGTGTGTGACTCCTCCCACCAGAGGATGGCTGTGGGTTTTTCCTTTTCTCTCCTAGGGGGTGGACACCTGGGAGTGGCTGCTGAGTTGTTGGGTGGAGTTTGTTCCTGTCCTAGGATTGGATAATTGGATGATCACCCCCTAGTAATTAACCACCAGATAACAGCCCCCTGGCCCCCTCCCTCCTAGCCTCCACCATCCTCCACCACCAGCCTGTGTTTTCCAGTTGTTGATACTTAGAGTGCCTTTGCAAACTGATTCGCAAGTTTAACCTCATTTGTGTGTCTGGCGTTAGAGCCTTGATCTTGTAAATCGTTGTAAATAGATTTGTATATATTGTATATTGTGTATATATTGTTCCCTGCAGCAGCCTGGTAGGCGTGAGAAGCCATTTTTGCTGACTCAGTTTTCTCCTGGTTTTCTTTTAGAATGTTGGGTAAGTGAACTGTCTTTTGGTTGGATTTCTTTTGTATAGGGAAGCATAGGGACCTTTTTAGGGAGTTTTGTTTATTATTTTGGCATTGCTCACTGCTGAAGCAAATAAATGGCTGTTTAGCACTTTAAAAGGTACTATTGTTGCTCTTTCTTGGGTGGTGCATGAGTGGGGGCCAATTTCTTGCTGTGTTCAATGCACACCTAGATTTAGAATGTAACAGAATAAAACAGTCTTGAGATACCTTAGGAGGCCCATTTTCTGAGCTTCCTTGTTGTACAGCGCTGGCATCTGTCTTTTCTTTTCCTACTTCCCGTCTTCTCGTATGTAACCAACACTCTTTCCTCCCTATCCTTATTCTCCCCCTCCCTTTTATCAGTGCTATGCCATATTAAAACTCAAGACCAGGGTCTCATCCATCCTACTCCAGGGCACAATAGGCCTGAACACAGAAAAACAATAATGAGCAGATAAGCGGCGGAAATGAACTGATTATGAATGGGGAGGGCTAATAATCATAGCGTTCACATATCTAAATTACCAGATAATGAGAAATAGAGGGAGAGGGAGAATGAAAGAGAAAAAGACAGATAGCGTAATGAGCACATGCATCCGGTGATGTTGCTGTGGGAAAGATAGCAAGAGGGGGGACTTGGAGGTCCCACAGGAACTAATTTGATGAGTGATGAGGATTGGCAACAGGCATTTTGCAGGTTTGCAGTGCACAATGACTAAATATGTTCCCCCTCAGGGCAGGTCGGTGAATTAATGGATTCATACCCATCGCTGTTTGTTGTGGAATTTCATTTTAACTCACAAAAAATGAAATGCTGAAAGCGTGCTCACAAAGGTCAGCAATTAGCATAGTTCATCAGTACATGCTGGAAGAAACATCAGATATGGAAATCTGCTCAATTTTGCGTGGACAAAAGCTTAGATTTGTAATGTAAATTGCAAACTTTTAACATCTAATTGCTCATGTAGACATAACCAAAACAAGTGGTGTTTTTCTTAATTCAGAAAAGAATTTGGAAGAATATTTGATATAAGAATATTTATGTGAATGCATGTACAGTATGGTTCATGTTTCTGTGCAAAGAGAGTTTACTGAAACTGTTTATGAATTAAAGCAGTCCAGAATTTTAATGGAATAAAAAGCAATTGGATCTGGGATCACATTCATACAATCTTTAGCAAACATCATGAAAACATTTAATAAACTGCAACATATAAAATATGACTATGTGAGAGAGAACCAGAAGTAATTTGCTGTTAGATCCTAATCAATCATTTTCTAATGTCTGTCATAGTTAATGAAGTCCGTGCTGTTGTGCCACATGTGTAAAGGAGTGCAATCCTCCTGCTGTGGATGGTTTCTGTTGCAATTTCTTGCCGCTGGTATGCAATAAACTCAGAAGAAAAACAGAATCAGATTATAGTCATTGATGCTGAATCCCTTTAATTTCATCTTTCACAATTTTCACTGGAGTAATAGTAAAGCTGAATTAAATTTCCCAGTTCAATTCAATTTTAT